GTGTAAAACACTCATCTGTAGTATTCATATACTACATATATGGTTGTGGAACTCCTAAAAATAATGAAAATGCTAATTTAAGCCTCTTAGCTACCTTAGGTGTCGACGTTTGAACTCCAGTGCTTATTAAAGCACAGCCTCGGGCACTTATGTGCTATATGTCTCATACATAGCAGGTATCCTCTACAGTGCCATAAATTTGCATGGAAATTGCGTGAATAATGTGTGCCTATTTTCTAAATAGCCTTAGAGCTGATATTTGGCTGCTCATGCAGCTGCTCGTGTTCATTTAATATGGATTTGAACTGTGCAACTCACTCAAAGTTGGGCAAATTGCCGTTATTTTTACTGTGAGTATTGGATATTTTATTAGAAGCTTTTAGTCCTTAAAAGTTTTGACTCCACATTCTGAATTCTTTTCCCTCTCACATAGGTCTACTGTGCAATAAACTAATTGTAAAAAAAAAATGTCATAGCAGCTCTGGTTTATTGGCTTCTCCATGTGGAACAAATTATGCAAACATTTGTGAGCTTGTCCTCGGTTGTGCTGACCTAAGTGGAGCCTAAAGGCTGACGAAAGGCGAGTTTAAGCTAATGGGTACAGCGGCACTGCAATTAACTGCAATGTGCTACTAATTTTTGCTTTTTCTTGGCAGACCTAAATGTTTTTCGTCTTCAGTGGGGTACCCAAGACTGTACAATACAGTGGGGCAAAAAAGTATTTAGTCAGCCACCGATTGTGCAAGTTCCCCCACTTAAAATGATGACAGAGGTCAGTAATTTGCACCAGAGGTACACTTCAACTGTGAGACACAGAATGTGAAAAAAAAAGCCATGAATTCACATGGTAGGATTTGTAAAGAATTTATTCGTAAATTAGGGTGGAAAATAAGTATTTGGTCACCTCAAACAAGGAAAATCTCTGGCTCTCACAGACCTGTAACGTCTTCTGTAAGAAGCTTTTCTGTCCCCCACTCGTTACCTGTATGAATGGCACCTGTTTGAACTCATCATCTGTATAAAAGACACCTGTCCACAGCCTCAAACAGTCAGACTCCAAACTCCGCCATGGCCAAGACCAAAGAGCTTTCGAAGGACACCAGGAAAAGTATTGTAGACCTGCACCAGACTGCGAAGAGTGAATCTACAATAGGCAAGCAGCTTGGTGTGAAAAAATCAACTGTGGGAGCAATCATCAGAAAATGGAAGACATACAAGACCACTGATAATCTCCCTCGATCTGGGGCTCCACGCAAGATCTCATCCCGTGGGGTCACAATGATCATGAGAACGGTGAGCAAAGATCCCAGAACCACACGGGGGGATCTGGTGAATGACCTGCAGAGAGCTGGGACCAAAGTAACAAAGGTCACCATCAGTAACACACTACAACGGCAGGGAATCAAATCCCGCAGTGCCAGACGTGTTCCGCTGCTGAAGCCAGTGCATGTCCAGGCCCGTCTGAAGTTTGCCAGAGAGCACATGGATGATACAGCAGAGGATTGGGAGAATGTCATGTGGTCAGATGAAACCAAAGTAGAACTTTTTGGTATAAACTCAACTCGTCGTGTTTGGAGGAAGAAGAATACTGAGTTGCATCCCAAGAACACCACATCTACTGTGAAGCATGGGGGTGGAAACATCATGCTATGGGGCTGTTTTTCTGCCAAGGGGACAGGACGACTGATCCGTGTTAAGGACAGAATGAATGGGGCCATGTATCGTGAGATTTTGAGCCAAAACCTCCTTCCATCAGTGAGAACTTTGAAGATGAAACGAGGCTGGGTCTTCCAACATGACAATGATCCAAAACACACCGCCCGGGCAACAAAGGAGTGGCTCCGTAAGAAGCATTTGAAAGTCCTGGAGTGGCCTAGCCAGTCTCCAGACCTCAACCCCATAGAAAATCTGTGGCGGGAGTTGAAAGTCCGTGTTGCTCGGCGACAGCCCCAAAACATCACTGCTCTCGAGAAGATCTGCATGGAGGAATGGGCCAAAATACCAGCTACTGTGTGTGCAAACCTGGTAAAGACCTATAGTAAACGTTTGACCTCTATTATTGCCAACAAAGGTTATGTTACAAAGTATTGAGTTGTATTTTTGTTATTGACCAAATACTTATTTTCCACCCTGATTTAAGAAAAAATTCTTTACAAATCCTACCATGTGGATTCATGGATTTTTTTTTTCACATTCTGTCTCTCACAGTTGAAGTGTACCTCTGGTGCAAATTACTGACCTCTGTCATCATTTTAGGTGGGGGAACTTGCACAATCGGTGGCTGACTAAATACTTTTTTGCCCCACTGTAGACTTTAGAGGGACTTTAGACAGACTTTAGAGGGAAAACCAGCACACCGCAGACCACGGCCTCTCTGTGTGAGGATCTAAACGTATTCTACGCTAGATTCGACACAGCGAACACCATGAGACCGGACAGTGTGCGCACCGCGGATGACGTCAGTGCGCACACTGTGTCTGAGGAGGATGTGCGGAGGTGCTTCAGGAAGGTGAACGCACGCAAAGCTACTGGTCCGGACGGGATTCCCGGCCGCGTCCTCAAGTCATGCGCGGCTCAGCTGGCTGGAGTGTTCACACACATCTTCAACCTTTCCCTCTCTCTGTCTGTAGTCCCAGCCTGCTTCAAAATGGCCACCATCGTCCCTGTACCCAAATCCTCCACCATCTCCTCATTGAACGACTGGCGACCTGTAGCCCTGACCCCATCGTAATGCTTCGAGAAGCTGGTCAGGGACTTCATCTGCTCTGCACTACCCGACTCACTGGACCCTCTACAGTTCGCATACCGCCACAACAGGTCCACTGATGATGCCATAGCCCTGACACTACATACTGCCCTGTCACACCTGGAGAAGAGAGACACGTATGTGAGGATGCTGTTTGTAGATTACAGCTCAGCATTCAATACCATCGTTCCCTCGAAGCTGGACAGGAAACTGCAGGATCTAGGACTGAGCAGCTCCCTCTGCAGCTGGATCCTTAGCTTCCTGTCTGACAGACGCCAGGTGGTCAGACTGGGCAGCATCACCTCATCCCCCATCACACTGAACACTGGTGCTCCACAGGGGTGTGTACTGAGCCCTCTCCTGTACTCACTCTACACCTACGACTGCACAGCCACTAACAACTCCAACATCATTGTGAAGTTTGCGGACGACACTACAGTGGTGGGTCTTATCACCAATGGTGATGAGACAGCTTACAGGGAGGAGGTCAGCGCCCTGACCCACTGGTGTCAAGACAACCATCTCACCCTCAACGTCGCAAAGACAAAGGAGTTGATAGTGGACTTCCGGAGGTGCAGAGAAGTACACACCCCCATCACCATCAACGGCGCTGCTGTGGAGAGAGTGAGCAGCTTCCGGTTCCTTGGTGTACATCTGGCTGAGGATCTTACATGGTCAGTACACACAAACAAACAGTGAAGAAGGCGCAGCAGCGCCTCTTCTTTCTCAGGAGACTGAAAAGATTCGGCATGAGCCCCCGCATCCTCAGGACCTTCTATCACTGTGCCATTGAGAGCATCCTCACTGGATGCATCACCACCTGGTATGGCAACAGCACCGCCTACAACTGCAAAGCTCTCCAGCGAGTAGTGCGGTGCTCTGAACGGATAATTGGAGGTGAGCTTCCCTCCCTCCAAGACATCTACAGGAAGCGGTGCCTGAGGAAAGCGGGGAGGATCATCAAGGACTCCAGTCACCCCAGCCATAAACTGTTCAGACTGCTTCCATCAGGAAGGAGGTTCTGCAGCATGCGGTCCCGTACCAGCAGACTGAGAGACAGCTTTTTCCATCAGGCCATCAGACTGCTGAACACGTCATAGACACCTCAGCTTCACTACTGGAACTTTAACATTATGCACTCCATACTGTACAGTAACGCCACTGTTTTGCACATGTCTCAACTCTGTATATTTTATTTTATATATTTTATTTATTGTTTACTCTATTTAATTTGTAAAATATGTGTACACACACACACACACACACACACACACACACACACACACACACACACACACGTAGAAAAATATTTAGTATACACATCCAGAAATGCATATACTATTATATATTGTACGTATATTTATTAGTTTCAGATGTAGCCATTCTTGTATTTTGCTTGTTTACATTATTGTATTTTGCACAACTCTGTTGCTTGTGAAGCTCGCACACAAGAATTTCACTCACATGTGCTGTACCAATGTACCTGCACATGTGATGTGACAATAAAAGTGATTTGATTTGATTTGATTTGTATGTGACTGCATATTTATTTTTAAACATACAATGTGCATCCATTTATCATTTTCCTAATAAAAATAAACTAATGAGGCACAGTAGTTCAATTCAGTTTTATTTAGATAGCACCAAATCAGTTGCTTCAAGGTGTTTTCTATTTTAAGGTGAAGATCCTGCAATAATAGAGAGAAACCCCAAAAATCAGGGGATCCCCATGAGCAAGCACCTGGCGACTGTGGAAAGGAAAAAACCCCTTTTGACAATATGAAATCTTCAGCATAACCAGGCTCAGGGAGGCGCAGCCATCCAACCTTAGAGTGAGGGGAGGAAGACAAGATAACAGATACACTGTGGAGAGCCAGAGTTGAAATATAACAGTCGTGTGTATTAAGTCTGCCTGTTTTATATATAAAAAATATCATATCTCTAAGAAATTGTTTTGTCTTATTTTGGTGGCTTCACTAAATCAGTGAAAACATATTACAAGAATCTTGGAAAGCAATAACTTCACTGTGAAAAATTTTCTGGTCCTTTATCTGCAGGGCTCACATGCTTTTGTCTTGGTTTGTTTTGTTTGATTTAACAGAACTGCCATTTTCTTGATATTGAAAAAAGTCCAAAGGCATGATGTAAATGCCATAAATTTACTCTTGCAGAATTTGGTTCTATTTGCATAATATTAGTGGGCGATATTTCAGTTTCTCATGTTTCTCTCTCATTTCTGCTTTTTTTCTCCCAGGCTGTTAGCTCCTACTCTAGCAAACACAAGTAGATGACTGAGAACTCGGCCTCCCATGATGGACAAGAAAAGTGGTGAGTGTCGCCAAGCCTGTAGTTAAACAAGCAATCCTCTGTGCTTCTAACATGTGCAGCAACCTTTTTTAACAACTGTGAGAAGCTTAATAAGTCAGACTCTATTTTTTGCTTTTATTCCAATATATAATCTAGTTCATGACATAAAAGGTGACATTTTTATCTCGCTGTTCCTTTCATGTGGCCAAAAACAGCTATGGGCTTATTTCCTTCAGGTGATAACCACCCCGTCTCATACTGCATTCATAAGTTGACACAGCATGAGCAGCATTTTACATGCTGATTAGTTTGTTTTGGCGCAATCACTGCATGATAATTACTTCCCAGTAAGTGATCGGGTTTTACATAATGAAGCACTGTGTGTTCGGCACAGTACAGCCTGTTTGCACGAGGGGGTGAAAAGAATTAATAATGCTGATGATGTGTGATTTGGTTCATGTTCTTATTGTAAACTAATTGCACATGTTTAGTTCTTTCATATCGGATACTACAGTATTACTATGACTAGTCACTGAAGTATGAAAATAAGCACCAACTAATGACTTATTTCATTAATGAATCATTTGATGTTAATTCTTACAGCCAATGGCTTTCAGTCCAAGGCCAGTGAGGGTGGTGTTCAAAGGAAGCAGCTGCCCTACTCAGTGGAGACTCCCTATGGCTTCCACCTGGATCTTGATTTCCTCAAGTATGTTGATGATATTGAAAAAGGCAACACAATCAAAAGGGTCCACATTCAGCGCAGGGTAAAGGGCCCACCTAAATTCAGCACTCTGCCCAGAAATTTTAGTCTTCCTGGGCATGGAGTAAGGCCTCCCCCAAAGGAAAAGGACAGTACTTGGTCTGGGACGTCTACCCTGGGTCCCAAGCCTAAATCACGAGTGACAGAGGTTCAACAGATCTTTGACTTTCGAGCAAATGAAGGCGTGATTTCCAGCCAGAGCTGCAGGGGGACCACAAGTCAAGGAACTGGCTATGTTTCAACTAAACCCAAAGATGAAGTAGGCGCGGGGGCTCGCGGTGCTGAAGACAAAACTGGGGGGATTCAGATTCAGAGTCGTCCAAATCTGCTCAGAGCATCGAGCATGCCCATCACGCTACAGCAGCGTAAGAGTTCAGATTCAAGCAGTCCTGACCGTACCGTGGGAACACCAGAAAACGGCTCAACAGAGAACATGTTCCGGGCTTCACCAGACGTAACAGAAAGACGCTGTGTTCCCCAAGATCGAGCAGGTCTTCACCAGCAGATTACTGTTGCACTGAAGCGGGTCAGAGAGCTCGAGGAACAGGTCAAAACCATCCCAGAACTGAAAGCTCAGATCTGCTCTTTGAGGGAGGAGCGGGAGCAGCTGCTTCTTCAGCTACAAGCACAAGCCAAGGCCCAGGCTTCCAAATTATCTGCTACAGTACCAACAGGTTACGATTCTAGGACAAATAATCAATCGCAAGGACAGAGACCTTCACAGGAGATGAAGTTAGTCCTAAAGACTCAACCCACTGGACGTTTAGAAGACACAAGTCTTGGGCCATCAAACCAAGCTGCAGGGAAGGAGAAACAAGGTGAGACAGAGAAAACTAACGTGTTACTATCTGAAGTGGAGAGCTCGGCACAAGGAAAAAGTAGCATGTCCTCAGCACAAGAAGTGGAGAGACAATCACTGCAGCTGGACATACTTGAAAAACAAAAAGAAACAGAGAGTCCACTGGGACAGACAGTGCAAAAACTGCCACGAGACATTTCAGGGGAGGAATTACTATCTATCACAGTGGCTTTAAAAGAAACAGAGACTGCAGCAAAAGAAGGAAAACCAAAGGATCCAGATGATATGCAGAAGTTGCAGGAGAAGCTAACAGTACTAGAGACTAAACTTATTCAGGCTAGCCAGGAGCTAGAGAGCACTAATGCTCTTTTGAAACAGCAAATAGAGGAGAACAAGCTAAAAGAGGAGAGAATACTACAACTGAGTGAGGGAACGAGAGTGGAGGTTTGCACCGCACATGAACGTCCAAGAAGAGAGAGCATTGACACAGGGACAGTGACAGAAAGGATAGATTTTACCCACCAAGAAACAGAGACAGAATCGCCTGGTACTGTAGATCAGGGGACAGACACTGAAAAAATCTGCATTGAAGTGTGCATACCAAAACAAGAGACTAAAAGTACAGATCAAGGACCAGTGACGGGAAAAGCTGACACGCATGACCAGGAGACAGAGATGGAGGCGGCGATAACAGCGACAAGTCCACCGAGGCCCAGAGCCAACAGCATGGAACGAGGCACACTAACCGAGAGCATCATCACCCTGGATCAGATGACCGAGACCCCCGTGGCCGAAAGGGTAAACCAAGTCACAGAAACAGAAGGCGAGATGGTGACGGACCATCCTCACAGACCGAGGGCCAGCAGTGTTGACAGAGGGACAGAGACAGAAAGGGTGGGCACTGTGGACAGAGTGACAGAGACAGAGGTAGCCCAGAGAGCAGACCAGCAGACTGAGACAGAGATGGAGAGACGTCATGACAACAACCCAGCCAGAGGTGTAGAAGCAGAGAGTCAAGTGAGTGAGAACACAGGCAGCCAAAGAGACGAAGTCGTGGTGAGTGAAAGAACAGAAGACAGGGAAACATACGAAAGAATTCAAAGAGAGAGTGAACGTTTAGTTGCTGAGGTTTTATCAGAAAGCTCAGCGGCAGCTGTAGAAAGCATAAAAACTTTAGATGTTGTTAGGAAGAATGAAGAGTGCGCCAGTTCGGCTGCTAAAGCAGAAGAAAATAAGATTAAAGTGAGTTCCGAACAAGATGACTCAGAAACAAAAGAAATTACAGAAGTGGTTGAAACAAGACCAGCTGCCCTACAGAGAAGAGACCAGCTGCCCTACAGAGAAGAGACTACAGAGAAGAAAGAAACAGGAGCCGGGGAGGTTATGTCTGCAGCAGTCAAAGAAACTGTAGCCGCTGACACTGTTGCAGTAACTGAGGGGAATTCAGCTGTGAAGACAGCAGCTCCTGTAAGACCACAAAGAGGCAGGAAACCCTCAGTGGAGCAAACTCAGCCGTCACCTCCTCAACTTCAGGTGGTGCCTGTGCGTCCTCGTAGGGGATCCAGTGAAACTCAGACCCAGCCGCAGACGAAAACCCAGCCCCAGGTGCAGGAACAGAGTGCAGCTCAGCTTGAAGCTCGGTCCCCAGAACAGCTCTCTGAAACACAGGTAAAACATCAAACACCGTCTGTGCCTCAGGTTGAGGACCACACTATAGCAAAGAAACCTCCTGGAGGGTCTGGAGAGAAGCAGTCTGAATCTCGACTTCAGTCTGAGACTCAGGCCTTGTCTCCGGGCTCTAGTGAAGTCCAAGTCAGGCCTAAATCAATACAAGCGCAATCTCAAACTTCTGTACCTCGGCGGGACTCAAAAGAGCTGAAAGCACCGCAGAGGGTGTCTGGTGCATCACACACTCCTAGACGGGGATCGGGAGAAGCCCAGACCCAACCACCTCGCCAAGCGTCAAGCGATGCTCAAACTCAACCTCAGGGTTCACGTAGAAGCTCCAGTGAGGCTCAGGCCTCTCCGAAAGATGCCAGTGAGACACAGTCACTGCGCAGAGGCTCCAGTGAAGCAGCTCAGCGCCGTGGCTCCAGTGAAGCAGCTCAGCGCCGTGGCTCAAGCGAAGCCCAGGGTTCACGTCGCGACACCGGGGAGGCCCAGCCTCCTCGAAGAGGCTCCAGCGAATCACCAACATCGCCTGCAGCTTTGGGTCAAGTTGTAACTCGGATAACGGGGCTGCTAGGAGAGCAGTGGGCACATCTCGGAAGCAGCTCTGGCACTCAGCAAACAGCCAGCCAGCAGGAGAGCGCGAGCACACAGAAAAAGACGACAGGGAAAAGAGCAGAGGCTGGAAAGGCAACGTCAGCCAAGCCAGCGGGGAAAGCAGCCCCATCAGCAGCAGCGACAGGGAAACCAGCGGGGAAACCTGGTACTTCCAAAATGAGCTCCATTCAGAGCCAACTGGTCAGCTCCCTCAGTGTCCTCTCTGCCTTCTACTCCCCAAGCCAGAAAGCGGCTGCTGCCAGCAAACAGCAAGAACAAGGTAGGCCCGTGGTTCATCTGTCTGATAGCTGCTCACCTATTTGTATTAGCTAAAGCCATTTCTCTCTTATAGTCACTGAATAAATCCTTTCAAGGAGCATAATGATGCATTATCCATGCCGCTTCATTACAACATGTCCCTTATGATCTATAATTGTCATGAAGTATTATAAATGTGTACAGCTCATTAGCCTGAAACATTCTCTCCCTAAAAAGAACTCCTGCAGAAACAGCCAAACATTTTCAGTGTGGTTAGACAAATATCCATGGTTTCACTTGTATAGGCGCAGCTTAGCCCTGCAAACTCTTACAAATGGTGCGTTCACAGCACAGATTTTTTTCATTGCAACTTGAAACCACACTGCTCCCATTCAATTACTGGGAACATTATACTCAAGTTGATATGCTGTCAAATTATCACTTCTCCTGCTTCTATGAATAGTACTGTACTACAAAGTACTACAAAAGTTTTAGTGTGCCTTAGTCATGAAATTAGATGCTGTAATAGGATCGCGATAGAAATAAATGACATTGCTTAACTTATTTTAAGGTTAATATCTTGAAATTGATGTGCCTTTTCTTTCTGGAGAGCGCAGGCATTGTTAATATAAGACATATTACGCAGAGCACAAAATACACTGAGCACTGTTGCTACAGTAAATGTCAGTTTTACTCTGAAATGCAGAGTGGAGGAGGGATGAGGGATGGGCAGCTGGGAATAGGCATTTTTTTCTGTAATATACAAGAGTGGAAAAAAACACACATTACTAAAAACTGTCAAAATGACATGGTTCAGTGACCTTCAAGAGCACACGTACACATTTCTTGTTCCCCACAATATATGCAAAGACAGAATCACACGGCAAAGTTCACACGTGTGGTTAAGCATCTGTTTACAGTACACAGTCGAATGGATCCTTAAGCACCGGTCCTCACACATATATCAAACAGATGACGCCTCTCTCTTCCCTCCCCTGATATGTCTCTCCTGTTTCTGGTCATGGTACTCACTCGCTCAACTATCACACACATATTTTATTTTCAAAGTTCATCTACAGTTCAGTGCCGGGAGCACAGTGTGGTACAGGAGTGTTTTTAAGTCAGGTTTCGGATGTGCGTATTTCAGACCCATTTCTGAGGTGCCTATGGCTGATGTGAAGTTTCCCAGTGTGGCCTTTTAAACGTCTTATCATCTTCTGTGTGTGTTAAAAAGAAACGCCTACTGCTGCATTGAGGAATTCACTCATTCTAGTCAATCTGTGCCTTGAGTGAAATATCTCTGACAAAGCGAAGGAGGGTTAAATAACACAACTAATTTATTTATTAGGAATTAGGAAAAGGATATTTTTATATTTCAAGTATGTTTCTAACCCTCCTCTCCATGTTGCTCTCCTGGGAGGTACTAGATCTAAAAGCATCATTCTTCTTAGATGGTGGTCCCTGGGAATTTTTTTTAAACTGGTATTTTTTGGCTCAAAGCTACGGTCTTGTGTCCTTACATAAAACATTACAGATACTCTGCACCATGTCTGCTGTCACGCACAACTGAGACAGCTATACTGGGCTCGCAGCCAAAGGGAGTCAGCATAAGAGCCCACACAGAATCAATTCCTGGGCAGTTACATACATAAATGGGCCTGGCAGAGTCAAGGTTGGATGTTGTCAATAAGGTGTATAGTCTTGACCTGTATATATTTCCATGGAGAATACTTCGAGGCCTTAGTGTGTACTTGGAAAGTTAAATCTAATTAAAAACTGAAGTATGTGCTTTAGATTTCAGTTCAGCAGTCTTAATTGTTGTCTTTGTATAGAGTATAGCAAATGGGGCTCTAGCTTTTCTGTTCTGTGTTAACACAAGCTTTCCACATCATTTGATTGGCTGTACTTACTCGTTGTTTTTTCCCCAATATCTTCCAGGCTCAAAATCACTGACATTCACATACAGACACAAGAGCACACAGAAACAAGCAGACAGACATACAGTGGGGCAAAAAAGTATTTAGTCAGCCACCGATTGTGCAAGTTCCCACACTTAAAATGATGACAGAGGTCAGTAATTTGCACCAGAGGTACACTTCAACTGTGAGAGACAGAATGTGAAAAAAAAATCCATGAATCCACATGGTAGGATTTGTAAAGAATTTATTGGTAAATCAGGGTGGAAAATAAGTATTTGGTCAATAACAAAAATACAACTCAATACTTTGTAACATAATCATTGTTGGCAATAACAGAGGTCAAACGTTTACTATAGGTCTTTACCAGGTTTGCACACACAGTAGCTGGTATTTTGGCCCATTCCTCCATGCAGATCTTCTCGAGAGCAGTGATGTTTTGGGGCTGTCGCCGAGCAACACGGACTTTCAACTCCCGCCACAGATTTTCTATGGGGTTGAGGTCTGGAGACTGGCTAGGCCACTCCAGGACTTTCAAATGCTTCTTACGGAGCCACTCCTTTGTTGCCCGGGCGGTGTGTTTTGGATCATTGTCATGTTGGAAGACCCAGCCTCGTTTCATCTTCAAAGTTCTCACTGATGGAAGGAGGTTTTGGCTCAAAATCTCACGATACATGGCCCCATTCATTCTGTCCTTAACACGGATCAGTCGTCCTGTCCCCTTGGCAGAAAAACAGCCCCATAGCATGATGTTTCCACCCCCATGCTTCACAGTAGGTATGGTGTTCTTGGGATGCAACTCAGTATTCTTCTTCCTCCAAACACGACGAGTTGAGTTTATACCAAAAAGTTCTACTTTGGTTTCATCTGACCACATGACATTCTCCCAATCCTCTGCTGTATCATCCATGTGCTCTCTGGCAAACTTCAGACGGGCCTGGACATGCACTGGCTTCAGCAGCGGAACACGTCTGGCACTGCGGGATTTGATTCCCTGCCGTTGTAGTGTGTTACTGATGGTGACCTTTGTTACTTTGGTCCCAGCTCTCTGCAGGTCATTCACCAGGTCCCCCCGTGTGGTTCTGGGATCTTTGCTCACCGTTCTCATGATCATTTTGACCCCACGGGATGAGATCTTGCGTGGAGCCCCAGATCGAGGGAGATTATCAGTGGTCTTGTATGTCTTCCATTTTCTGATGATTGCTCCCACAGTTGATTTTTTCACACCAAGCTGCTTGCCTATTGTAGATTCACTCTTCCCAGTCTGGTGCAGGTCTACAATACTTTTCCTGGTGTCCTTCGAAAGCTCTTTGGTCTTGGCCATGGCGGAGTTTGGAGTCTGACTGTTTGAGGCTGTGGACAGGTGTCTTTTATACAGATGATGAGTTCAAACAGGTGCCATTCATACAAGGAACGAGTGGGGGACAGAAAAGCTTCTTACAGAAGACGTTACAGGTCTGTGAGAGCCAGAGATTTTCCTTGTTTGAGGTGACCAAATACTTATTTTCCACCCTAATTTACGAATAAATTCTTTACAAATCCTACCATGTGAATTCATGGTTTTTTTTTTCACATTCTGTCTCTCACAGTTGATGTGTACCTCTGGTGCAAATTACTGACCTCTGTCATCATTTTAAGTGGGGGAACTTGCACAATCGGTGGCTGACTAAATACTTTTTTGCCCCACTGTACTTATAACACTAGCCCAAAGAAATACAGTCGCCGTTTGCAAATTGTTGTTGTCTGTTACCTAATGAGATAAAAGTCAATAACAATGTAAATGTAAGTGTACTATGTGCAAATGTAAATATAAACAAAATACAATGATTTACAAATCTCACCAACCCATATTTTATTCATAATGGGATGTAGAAACCATATCAAATGAAACATTATTAGCTCATTTTGAATTTGATAGCAGTAACGTGTCAAAAAAGTTCAGGTAGGTGCAACAAATGGCTGGAAAAGTAAGTGGTACTAAAAAAAAGAGCTAGAGGAGCATTTTGGGACTAAAGTTTATAATAAACTTGTGTGTAACATGATTGGGTATAAAAAAAGAACATCGCAGAGAGGCAACATTTAACCAGTTTGCAAAAAAATTGCATCTATAAATTGGAGAATGATTTCAGAATAATGTTCCTCAATGCTATATTGCAAAGACATCATCTACAGTGCATAATATTATCAAAAGATTCTGCAAATTTGGAGAAATCTCTGTGCGCACGGGACAAGGCTCAAAATATTGGTTGCTTGATGCTTGTGATTGAGGTGGCAGACCTTTAAAAACAGGCATGATTCTGTCATGGAAATCAGTGCATGGGCTCAGGGACACTTCTAGAAATCTTTGTGAACACAGTTCATGAAGCCATACACAAATGTAGGTTAAAACTTAAGAAAGCTGTGAACATGAATCAGAAACGTCACCATCTTCTCTGGGCCAAAGGTCATTTAAAATGTAATGAGGAAAAGTGGAAAACTGTTCTGTAGTCAGATGATTTAAAATGTGAAATAAAGGATACCGCCTCCTCCGTACTAAAGAAGAAATGGACCTTTGGGCTCATTATCAGTACTTAGCTCAAAAACCTGCATCACTGATGTTATGGGGCTGTATTTATTCTAACCATAAGCCTGTAAAGGTGACAGATCTTAAAACACTGAGACACTGTGATGTCCTCTGACTCATATCACAGAAACCCTATTAATTTTTACTTTCCTCATTTTTATTTTTCATCTTCTCCTCTGCCTCTCGCTCTGTCCTCCTCTTCACTAGGTCTCAAATCCATCATGAAGAAAAATGGTGGAGCAGGCAAGCAGGGGAACAAGGGAGCCAAGAAAAACCTGAAGTTTGTGGGGGTGAATGGAGGGTAAAATCTTCTTTTTAGTCATCGTCCAATCTCTTTGTGATTTATATCTTTGTGTGGGCTGAAATGTGTTTTGTGCACTTATATTTTCATGCTTTTGTCAGTCTTCATCCTTATAGGAAAAATAATGTGTTGCCACTTCTGATTAATGTAAAAAATCCCCTTTTATCTTGATTTAGTTCATTAAAAGTATTTGTTATTAGGTTTGATGTGTTACTGTATGCAAAGGGGCTTCAAGTTTGATGGATTACCCACAAATGTATTTTTCAATGTTGTGGTTAATCCACATAACCACACATTATGTGAAAAAATTCAGAAAGAGCAAAAGATACAGGATTGTCTGAGAAATTTGATTTGATGTTATTTGATTTCTTCTTCTTTGTGTGTAGAAATCCACAGGCGACAGTTTGGATTTTCATGCACCTGTATTTCAGGCTACATGAGGTCCATTCGTAACAAACACTCTTTTCATTCAAGACAAAAAACTGTCTGTGCAGCAGTGTTAATCTTTTGTCATTTAGCCATGTATGCGTCAGCTTTGTCACTGTTTTAAACTTGGATATTAAGCTGTACTTCAGACATCTGCTTCTTGCTGTTTGTCAGGCTCACTAAAGACACGTTGTCCTGAATCTGACCTTGCTGCTGCTTCTGCTGGTGTGCTAATATGCTTGCATTAATGTGTGTTTAGATTATGTGATATGCATGCATAGTTTCTGTTGATGGCACCTAGGTGATTGTGCTAGCGTGCTTATGTCAGCATTTGCTGATGCTGGTTGAAGTGTGTGTGTGTGTTTATGAATTTAAAGTATGGGGATGGCAGTGGTTCTCAATTTTTTTCTGGCATTGCTCACACAGTGCAATTTTCTGTTATTAAATCTAAGGAAGGAATTGTATTTTAGTGAAATAAAACTCAAGAGCAGTTCAGTAATTCAGTTAAGTGGTTTTTCTGTCTCAATTATATAACTTCACTATACTTAAATGTTTTTCAGGCTTTATTGACCTGAAAAATTCTTCATAAAGAATATCTTTACGGTGTCATCTTTAAGAAGCTTTGCAGACTTTGTTGTGCTGCTGCTCAAGTGGTTAGCTGCTAGTGGAGTGAGAGGCTTCTTGTCTAAGCTGCTGTGCTGGTATCAGTAATATTGCAAAGGGGTATTTAATGTGTTAGCAATTTTTAGCATCGATTAGCATCCGCGTATCCTGTTCTTTAAACAACTAAACTAACTTTATCTAAACTACTGGAAAAGGGAAAAAAGTACCACTGTGTTTTCAAAGTTTTGTTATTGAGAAGATAAGTATTGGTTCTGGTGATTTACCTACTAATGAGGTAGACAATCACAAAGCAGGAAAAGCAGGAAAACTACAAGATATGAGAAAACTAAGCTTCAAAGTAAAATTTGGGCACAAAGACTTGCTATAAAGTTGCATTTGTTCTTAGGTCATGCTTACAGCATGATTTCATATCCTGTTGTGGTCGTTTACAGTATTTCTCATCACTTACGTAAAAAGTTTCTGTTTTAAATTCCTGGCTATTTTAATCTCCTGCATATGACGGAAATGGCTGCCATGCATAACATTTGTTTTATTCCCGTATTCCTTCTCTTACATTCCTGGGCTTCACTGTTTTATGACCTGCTCACCTTTGCAGTGTTTTTGCAGACTGTTGTGGTGTAGTCCATTCCTTCCTCCCTTCAACACAATGATCTGTAAACATACCCACATTCAGAAGAACACGTAACAGATTTTTTATGGTATTGCAAGAATCTATTCCTTATAAACTTGGACTAATATGTTTAATAAATTAGATTATATAAAACTTTTTGACATCTAGTGTACATCTCTTTTGGTTTTGTTTCAACCTCTATAAATATTTGACCATTTCCATCTTCCGCCCACCCAATCCTGAAATATGCAGATGTTATTTATAATGAGGCAAACATGTCAGGCAACAATATTTTCTCTGACTATCTTTAGGCTTCTGCCCACAGCAGGAAGTGGTCTGCTGTTCATACTTCTTCTCTTTGTATAGTCTAACCTATCTCTGCTCTCCCTTGAGCTCCTCTGGAATCTCGAGAATGCTGTGGCCCCTGAACGTCTCTTGTGGTGTCTCAGTTTGTCTCTGTGTGTCTACAAGAAGTCTGAATCAGTGGTATTCAGTATAACCTTATCTGATCACTGGCCTTACAGAGGTGACTTGATGATGCGCCCCAGTAATCACACTTATATACATGCTACTCCAGCAGCCTCCGCAGCATATCGTTAGCCTTTTCTCAACGAACAAGGTTGTATGTTGTTCAAGGCTGCTTATGTTTGTGCTCAAACATGTCTGTGGCTTTTTATGTATGTTTAAATTATGTTTATGTTAGGATATGAGGGCAAGGCTGCACAAGGCAAACATCTTTTTCATCTCACTTGTGAAGTCTAGAGGGGAATAACCTGTTAGTATTTATCCTGTCTTGCCTGGTGCTGACTTAACATTGACTTAATATTAGTTTTACCTGCTTAGACATTTCCTTAGTGATGCTGCTAGTGCTGTACAAACTTAGCTTTAGCTTGTGGAATGATTTGAATGATTTCTGTGGAGCTGTTATAGAATCTGCCGTCATCTTTATTATGTTCTCTTTAAGATATGAGACGACATCCAGTGAAGAGTCCAGTGGAGATGAGAAGTCAAAGGTGGAGGTAGAAGAGGAAGATAGCTCAGAACCAGAAGTGGAGAAGGAGCCTGAGAAGGAGCCTGAGAAGGAGCCTGAGAAGCAGCCAGAGGAGGGAGCAGAAGCCCAGAGAAAAGATGCAGAGGTCCCAACTGAGGGAGGAGGTGCTGTGGCTAAAGAGAAGGAGACTGAAAGAGGTCTGCTGGATCCAGAAAGTAGCCAGGAGCTCCTGGAAGAGCAGGCTGGAGGGTGAGACCGACAGCAGAGCTTAAATTATAATCTTCGGTTACCGTGTTGCACTTTATGTGTTTCTCATAAATGTAACTGAGGATTGGGTCTGCTATGATACCAAATGGTTTCTCCATGAACTGCTTTTTGGTATTATTTTACAAATATAGAACAAAAATAACCACATTTGCAGAATTTGCTAGAAGCAGTGTTGGGTTGTTACTCAAAAAAGTTGTTGCACTTGTTACTTGTTACACTACTCATTACTTTTTTGCAATGACCAGAAACAAATTGGCACTTAATTACCAGTTATAGAAACCTCAGTCTACAGTTCCAAAAACCAGCAAATATACTTATGTTAAGGACACAATACATAGGATCATTCTTTTACTATTTATGAGCACAAAACCATCAACACAAAGCAAAAATGAAAACCAGCCAAAAAGGCTTTAAAGCAATCAACAGAGTAATTCTACTGTACAAACACATACAGCGAAAAACTGAGGCTTAAAGCTGCTTTTGTTACTTGTTGAAGTTCAGGCTCTGGCTGCAGGACTGGGGTCAGCATGCATTTAGCTTATATCATATAAATATCACTTTGGGTTTTTCATTACCTTTGCTGACATATCTGTGCAGAGCCAAGCTTTTGTTATCCTTGTTATGCTCCTGTTTTTGCCCTGGAGGCAGTTTGCACTTCACCATTGTACACTTAAATGCCCATATCTCCACTCCTGAAGAGCTCTAGACTGCTCCACAAGTTTTCTCCCCCTACACGCAAACTTAAATTAGCTGATTTTAGTGCAAGTTTTTCACTTTATTTCCCTCATTTTATGACTACAGCCAGCATAAATATATTGATGGATCAAGCTTAGATTTTTTCTGGTTTATGCTACTTAGTTATCACAGGCACTGTGAACGGTACAATATTACCTTTACACCCTGAAAGAAAAAACAAATTCACAACTTATCAATTAACAAAGCAGTTGCCACTAAATCAAGCTATATAGAGGTTTGTTGGCCATTATAAAAAGAGCCGTGCTATATTAAATGGTATCTTTATCTTTAAATGATTAATCTTTAAATTGACAACGCTGTATTAAACATTTATTTCGACACCGACAGCAATACGTAACCTTTTAAAAAAGCTATCAACACCTTGATCAAACTACTGAAGGCTCAGATTCAAACTGTTAAACTTCTGAATTTATATCGCTGGTAAATACTTAATTTTAAACACAAGATGGTTTTTAGTGTTAAATGTTACTAAATATTTATGTGTGTAAATTCTCTAAATAGAGACTGCATTCTCTGCTCACAGGTACAAATATTGGAACAGTCATTCGTATGCAGCCTTATCTGATATAGTTGGTATAGGACAGGCGCTGAATAATGCTTCATGCATGCACTGGAGGCATTACATTGGGACTTTGACTTACATGCATGGGAATTCAGTTAATACACACTCATGCTTTTTTAAATCTTGTGCACATTCATCGCAATAAATGTGTCTGTAATATATATACACACTAAACTGACATTTCAATTCAATTCAGTTTTATTTATATAGCGCCAAATCACAACAACAGTCACATCAAGGCGCTTTATATTGCACAGTAGATCGTACAATAATAAAATGGCAACATTTGTCGCCACAAGTACACTGTAAGCTTCACACAAGCACACACATATTCCAACTTGCAACTAAACTCCTTGATTAAGGGTGCTCAATAGTCACACAGACGTACTTTGTTCTAGGACAAAGCAAATAACTAGCAGTGTTGTCTTCCCTGTCATTGACTGATCACTTATCAGTCTCAGGTATGCAGACAGGGCTGATGGCCATGGGCCCAGGCAGTGAGGAGAAAGCAGGACTTATATTAACTCATCATTCAGCACCTGTCTGATCATTCCTGTGGGTACGTGCAGGATGTGCTTCTATATGTGTATAGGTGTTATAGCTGGAAAGCTAGTACAGGTCACATTGTGACCCACTCAGGCTTGATGCTCAGTTTGTGTGATGGTTTGAGCGCTCTCTGGATATTAATGGGTAGTGAATCAGAGCAAACTGTAACTGTTGCGGTTTGCGTGTGCTATCAATGTGTCAGACTGTTGAGTGATGTGAGTAAGCCATGGAGGCGTGCAAGCCATTTTTTCTTGTATTTTCTTGTTATCATTTCTGACAGAACTTAGACATGAACCACAGAAGCTGGCTTGGCCATACTTAATCCCTGCTGTGTTGTATGGTTTTGGTTTTCAGGGGAAGAGTCGACAAGGGGTTTATAGATGCATGCCTTTATGTAAAGGACCGCATGGAGGAGGTTTCATCCCCAGATAAAGAAATGGTAAGGATTTCTTTGATTGGACTTAATAAAATCGAACCCCGCTTCACTATGGTAAGTTTTTGTTTTTCCATTGTTTTCTGTCTCTCTCCTCAGCGCCAGGTTTTAGTGGTGCTCTACCAGGAGTGGTTCAGAGTCTCCAGTCAAAAGGACTCGCAGGCAGATACTGTCAGATTATACCTGCGACAAGTGGGGATGACCACACCCACTCTCCTGCCATATGTTGTTAACTTGACAGACGGCAATGGGAATATGGCTCTTCACTACAGCGTGTCACACTCCAACTTCCCTGTGGTCAAACTGCTGCTGGATACCGGTGAGACGGAAAGGCACACAGAACGACAAATCCAACTAAAAAACTAAAAGATTATAACTGTGGAAACGTTTTGTTTCTCATCTCTTTTACTCACTCCATCACTTTCTGTGTACATTCAGGCCTGTGCGAAACAGACAATCTCAATAAGGCAGGCTATACTCCAGTGATGCTGGCTGCTCTGACGGCTGCTGAGAGCCCCGATGATCTTGAAGTGGCACAGCAACTGTTGAAAGTGGGAGATGTCAACGCACGCTCCAGACAGGTGTGTATACAGACAGCAGTTGCACTTAGACGCTGGATGAACTAAAAATAAAACGGATATCAAACAGTTTGGTGTGTTGTACAAATAAAATAAAATAGAAAAAGGAAGTAAATACATGTCCTCAACTGCAAGACATCCTTTAGTGGAAACCATACAGGAATCATGAAAAGGACTGCAGAAGCAAATCAAGGTCACCAGAACGAATATTTATGGATGTTTGTATAACAAGTTAATGTACTATTTAACTCGTCACTTTCTCTCTCTGTCTGCATGTAAGATATACATATCTTCCCATCATTCCTGCCCTCTCACTGTTTAATTCTAATCTCTGTTTTTCTCACTCTTTTTCTAGGCGGGCCAGACAGCACTCATGCTTGCGGTGAGCCATGGCCGCGTTGCCATGGTGAAGCTGCTCCTGAGCTGCGGCGCGGATGTAAATGCCCAGGACCGCGAGGGCTCGACGGCCCTGATGTGTGCCAGCGAGCACGGGCACACGCACATCGCTCGCCTGCTGCTGGAGACAGGTCGCTGTGATACCAGCCTCAAAGATAAGGTATAGCTTTAGGTTGTGCAGTTAAAATCAGGCCATTTAGTGGCTTGTTGTAAACTTGTAGATGTTTTACTTCTCGTTTATGAGACTTTCAGCAATTAATTTCAGCACGTAATTCTTCGCTGTTCGCATTCGACTAATGGTCACATGGCTTTTACCACCTGGTTCGCTCAAAAATGGAGACTGTGGGCTCTCAGTAAGGTTATAGGGATATGGGAACTGATGGCTGGCCCACACAAAGTAGATTGATTGTTCAGCCTGGTGCATTGATTTCTCCAGTTTGTAGATTCCCCAGTCAGAGAGTGATCACATCATGGCCGGTGCTTTACGCTGCCGAAGCACTTCTGTAATGAGAGCAGTCCTAGAAACACAGAGGCAAATGGACTGGCTGCGTTAAATGGAGAGCAAAGACACTTAGTGTCCTGTGGCAAAAAAAGGATGGATGCAGGTGTGGAGGTGAGTCTTTGTAAATGCCACAGGAAGAGTAGCAACAGTGTTGCAACAAACACCGTGCTGCATCTTACCCCAAAACAACATTAAAAGTAGGCACCGTATGTGATACAGAACATTTATGCTCATGTCTCAGGATGTGGCCTAATAGAATTAAAAGAAGGAGGAAAAAACACAAAGGTAATCTGCAAAAATATTCTTGCAGAATCCTGACATTGCAGATCTGTCAGCTGTATCATTTGACTGACGTCTTGGCATCAAGCGCATTTCTCAAACTGTAAGATGTGCTTGCAAGTGATTGCATTCTGAAGAGCATTTGTAGCAGCGGGTTGGGGAGATTGTTATCCGTAAGGACGCAAGCACCGATAAGCATTCTTATTTCTGATAATTGCTGGTAGAGCGCGACTTGAGTGCTTGCCATAAATCCGCGCACGGTACATAATTACAGCACAAGCCCGACAGCGTTTATTTATTTTACTTTGCTGCATTAAAAAAAAAACAACATTATTGTAATCTGTGCATATTAATTTTTAAAAATATGCTTGCAAGAAAATAAAGATGATCAAATAAGTAAGTAGGTGACAGTGGCAGTGATTAGATATTTGAGTGCATTTTCAAGAGATCAATCACATACTGGTCACAGTGTGTCATCCCTGTCGCTACTTTATCATATTGCCTGTGCAATAAGTAACAACACAAGATGAAAATACACAAAAAAATACTCTAAATTTTCTTACATATGTTTCATAAGCAAAATGCAAGGTTTACTTGTATTAAGCTTAACATCAATACAAAACATCCCAGGCTTAAAACCTTTATTATTTCAGAGACAATTGCTGTAGGATGTAAAAAGGGTTTATTAGTATACAGAGTCAGGGCAGGTTCAGCATGCACCATACTCCTGATATTCAGTTACTAGAGAATATGTTTAGCCCAAAACAACACTGCCACTGTGTGGTTCAAAAAAGTCACTGCAGTGTTTTGAAACGTCTGTTTTCCCCCCCACCCAGAACGGTCAGACGGCTCTGTTGGTGGCAGAAGGAGCCTCTCAACAAGACATAATTGACCTTCTGAAGGCCAACGCTGAGGTCCAAACCTCTGAGTCCACAAGCACCGCAGACCTCCTCTGAGTCAGAGTTCTCCAAACCATCCCAGCTCGCCATTCAACCGCTCAACTGCTCTGTTTCCGTTAACCGTGGCCGCCAACGTGGGGAGAAAACACTGAAATAAACACACGGTGGTACCGCACACATCATAAGACGTGGCAGGAGCTTTTCTTCCACGTCTATGCCAGTAATGCTGGTGGGTGTCGATGGATATGCTGCATCAACCGCTCAGGTCCACTGCTGAGGGTCCCGACAGCCTGATGAGAAGACGTTTCCACAGTGTCATGTGTGACTGACGGGATGTTAAGTAGGACACAGGGTGAGACTATAAAGCAGGACAACACATTGGGTGGCCTAGCAAGTGGACAGAGAGAGCCTCTGAACTGCTGCTTCCTATCATCAGCTAACTCTTAAAGCAAAATACTAAGCACATGACCTACCTTTGCAAATATAGAATATGAAATAATACATTATTTCTATTTTTTTCCCTTTCATGACATTGAAATCAGTCTTTACGTATTTGGACATAAGCCATTATTGAGGACATACTTTATGTAGAATAGATTATAATCACAAAAACTGTATTTTCTACTGCACTTTTTTTTTTAATTGTTGATGTGTTTCGTAAATAGTCCTCTATAATATTGGTGTCCAGATGAAATTATATATCTCCGAAAAGCATTCATTAGGAATTTAAATAACAGAATATAACTTATAACAGAATATATTTGACATTCAGTGTATCGTTTTTGCCGTACTACCCATCGCTTTTCACATGTGGGACATGGGTGCTCATCAGCTGTGTGTTAATGACAAACAAATCCTTTCTGTGGGACATTAAACTATTTTTTATAACCACAACATGACCAGGCTGAAGAAAGACAACGCTCTTCTGTTATGAAGATTGTACTGCATGCCAATACGTTTACTCCCCCTACTGGCTGTCTTATAGTACTAAACAGCAGTATGTTGTAGTACTGTCTGTTCTCATAGCGACTCTCTCTTTCTCTGCATCTCCCGCCTTCAGTTCAAATATATTGTATGCCTTGTTCGCCTACTCGTTTTAAAATCAAACCATGTATGCAACTGCTACAAAATGCACAATGAATGTCAGGCTGGCTGTGACACATTCCAGGAAATTAATGTAGCAAGTTTAAATACACTGGCATGGGCTTTACGACTAACAGACACAGACTGTCAGTGGATGCGGCAGACATTGGAATGAGTCTGGTTATATATATTACGCGTGGCGAGACACATCGTCTCGTCCTTGCTTTCGTGAGGTCTCATTTCATAAACGGTAAGACAACATGGTAAATCTGACCCAAGGTTTGGGTTGAAGGTAGGGCTGGGACTTGGGTTTGCGTTTTAAGAAGCAATAGCAATTGAATACTACCTTACTGTCAGTCATAAAGTAGGTCGAGTGAGTGACCTTGGTCGAGCCTTAATCAGAAAACACAAGACATAAGATGTTTTCCACAGTGTTGATGTTTTTGTACCGCAAACCTACGTTCGTATTCCCGAGCTAATATGAAGCAGGAGTAGCGGTCTTTAAAATAAAGTTTACAGTTTCCCACTCAGTGACCGCTGCTGATGTCAAACAGTCCCGTATGTTTACAGTTAAATGAAATGCTGAAATGATACAACAGAATGGCATAAAATGATCTGTAATATAACATTATTATTATTATTAATTTTAGATAATTCATGTAGTTCATGGACTGCAAAGGAAATAGGGGGAGTAAGCCTAAATTAGAAAAGAAAATTGATAGGCAAATCGATCAAGTTCATTGTAAGCCTCTCTTTTCACCTGATTATGATCATATTTATGACTACTCTGATCTTTGTTCTCTTTTTTAAAGAGTTGGAGGTGGGATTTAAAGGGGAATACCACTTACTACTTTAACAACTGCCATATATGTGACCTATGACCATGATCCAGTCTGAATTTACAAAAGAAAAAAAGCTACACTCCAAACAGCTAACAAAAGGAAACGCTGAACATTTTTCTAGCATACAGACAAATCAAACCTATCAGCTGTTATTATCATTTATTAATAAAACTGGATTAGCAGTTGAATATTTGTGGCCATAGTGATACATCATGTCATTGGAATACATTACCATTTTGTCTTAATTGGTATTAATTTGGGGGGTTTTTTGCAGTGGGGTTTGTCATTCTAGTTAATGTTTTCGGACACAAATATAAAAATATGTAGACTGACCATGACGCAGGACTCATTTTAAATGAAGTATATTATATAGATCTATATACTTTGACTTATATAGTACATTTACACAAGAAAATACTTTTTTTCACACTGACTTAGTAATCAGATAAGTATTTGTGGGGGCTCACAAAGTAGCACAGGTTCTCTCCACAACGACGCTGCATTCACACAACATCAGTAAATCTCAATGTTAACTCTGTGCAGCGCATCTGATCATCACTGACTGTCTGTGTATGAAGGAACAAAAATAAGAGTCTGTACAGCCGTAGCTTCCTGCATTGCAGACAGCCAAAGGATGATCGGGAGGGCGCTGCAAGAATTATCTGGTGAATCTGGTCTTCCGTGCCTGCGTATAAGTCTCTATGAAAATCTATATGTTTAATCCCCTGTGACCCAGATATTATAAGGTTTCACATGAGCACCAAAGAATTGAAACCAAATCTGTTTCACACGGGACTAAATATGTATGTTATCTGTTCCTGTAAATCCAGCCAAATATATGTATATGTACATACAGTATTGTGAAAAGTATATAACAAGTATTGTCTGACAGTTTGCTCTAAGATTACAGTATTTATTCCAAATGCTATATTTTTTATCGTATAATATACCTATGTATGCATGGACAAATATTCAAGTGATACAGCTCAATGGGAATTTTGAATGACTGAAAACTGTACTGAGTATACCCTGATGATGTGATCATTTAACTTATCTTTCATCGGTTGGGTGGTTATAGTACATAGTGTGATTTGACGAGGTTGTGGACTGTCATGTGTCCTTTAATGCTACTCTTGACATTTCAGATCTGACACTGACTTAAGCTATGAGAGCAACGTCTCCCTTGTTTGAATATCAAAGTGGAAATCCGAGCCGACGTACATGACAGAGTCAAATGTAAAAAGTTGTACCTCTCTGTAAGATTCCTTGTACAACAGGCTTGTATGTTACAAACCAGAGAATTAATTCTAAATAAATAAATGATAAACTCATGTTGTCGCATATGATTTTTTCTTTTTTAAATCAACCACAAAGCTGTGACAGACATGATTAATTACACATTCGGGCCATTCAGGCAAAAGTATACAAAAACAGTTTCTGTCGGAAGATGTGAAAAAGTAAGTACATCCCAATGAAAACAGTTTTTGTCTCATGTATTTTAACCAAACCAGTGAGAAGTGCTGAAAACTGCAGTGGCTTGAGTCTGGCTCCAAAATTAAGTATACCTTATGGATAAAATGATAAAATGCCCAACTTCAGGTGCTGGAATGGCTCAGTGGGTTGAGCAGGCTCAACTTTCTAATCTTGTTTAGTCTTTACCTCACAATATAAACCCTGAGGTCACTGTTTTTGTGAATTAGTTCCATATAAATAACATAAAATACATTTATAACTCTGGAAACATCCCACTGATAAAATGTGATATAAACATATCACATAAAATGTTACAGTCATGCAGCCCCGTGTGCACCCTGTGATACATGAGCTTGCAGAATTACTTTTAGCAGCAATAACTTGAAGCAGTTGTTTTCTGTATGGCTTTAACAGTCTCTCACATCACTGTTGAGGAACCATTCTTCTTTTGCACTCTTGCTTCAGTTCATTGAAGTTTGAGGGTATTCATTCATGCTCAGCTCTCTTTAAGTTTCCACCACAGCCTTTCAATCGAGTTGAGATTTGAACTTTGACTGAGCCATTGCAGCACTTTGATTCTTTTTATGCCGCTGTGTTTGGGTCCTGTTGCATGACCCAGTTTGTGCCAAGCTTCAGCTGTCAGACAGATGGCCTCACATTTGATTCCAGAATACTTTGGTTTACAGGAGTTTATGGTCAACTTAATGACTGCAAAGTACCCACATCCTGGTTCTGACAAACAAGCTCAAATCATCACCATTCCACCACCATGCTTGAAAGTTGATATGAGGTGTGCTGTAATTTTCACCAAACAAATCTCCACTTCGGTCCGGTCTTTCCAAAGGACATTGTTCAAGAAGTCTTGCAATATATTCAGATATTTATTTTCCATAACAAAGCTGTCTTGTTATGTTATTTTTAGAAAGAACACACTTTCTCTTGTCAACCCTTCCAAACAAGCTATATTTGTTCAGCCTTTCTCTGATTATACTCTCATGAACTCTAATGTGCCTGTAGAGTCTGAGATGTAACTCTTGGGAGTTTTGCAATTTTATCTGAGCATTCAATGGTCTGAGCTTGGAGTGAATTTTCTGGGACATCCACTCCTGGAAAGATTATGGCATTCTGTTAAGGCACACCTGAATGCTTCAAGCCAGCTAACTGATCAAAACTTATATAGCTTCAGTGCATCTGTAATAAATATGTGCAAGTTTCAGTGCTTCGTTTAAACTGTATGATACTTATACTGACCCAGGGTCAGTGTAAAATACAATCCTAGCTGTGTGAACAAAGCCTGGCTTCTTTAATCCTGCATGACAAACCTCAGGATGCAGGCTATTATTACTCTTTCCTGCTGGCACACCTGTCACACCTGAGAGTCAGCTAGAAACTTACAGTGACGTGGACATCATGCAAAGACTGCCAGACTCTGTAATACTGCAAATGATCAGTGACTCAGGTTAACACTAAACTTTAAACGGTACCTCTGTGTCTCTGTGTGCTGAACATTTAGGATTGAGTCAGGCTGCATGAGCTGAAGCTCTTATTTGTATATATCAGTATTTTTTTATTCAGGTGTGGGGAAAATACGTAAGACTGCAGTGAAGCGATGCACCAGATTAATCCCTGGCCAAAGGTATCGTACTTAAATCAGACTACTGATCCAGCCACATCAGCCTTTTGTGAGGTCTGTTTAAAGTTGACTAAAAGTGAACTGCAGGTTCCTGAGAGGTGGACTGTGAGCACAGAAACACATCTACACACAGCTGCAGCAAACTTACATTAATTTTAAATAGATTTGTTACTCTGATGTCTGTCTCTGTGTTAGTCCTCTGACAGACTGGTGACCTGTCCAGGTGTGCTCTACCTATGACTACTGGGACAGGCTCTAGCCTCTGTAATAGAATTTTTCTGATATTTTCATTTAAAGTATTTAAGTGCTTATGCATATGCTTAGTTGTGACACTGTTACTGTTCAGTGAAAGTTTCTAAAACTAGATTAACTTACTTCAGCGTCAGCAGTTTGAGAGAACAACTCCCTTTACAGGTGCTGATAAGGCCACAAAACAGCATAACCATTGATCCGTTGAAGTGTGGTAGGATCCGTTTGTAACTTCCTCCCTCTTCCTTGGAATGCATAAAGGAGCAGGAGCACCACTTCTGTGGCAGCGCTGACATGACTGAACTGTGATGTTTGATGTGTGTTGGCGCAGTAATAAATAGCTTGAGCACAGCTCTTTCTGTGTTGCAGACTTTATTTAAAAAATTCCACAACACTGTGAACCTGAATTGAATATTCAGAAGACATTTGTTTAAATAGTTCTACAAATCGGAGCTGTTGGTGTGTCCTTGGATTGTGTGGTAATAATATTAGAGCCTGCAATCTTTCTTACTGAATCTCTACTATGAGTCATGTTACCTGAGATTAATTCTATGTTTACCTGTCAGCCTGGACGAATGTGCTGTGTGAAGGAAATTAAATTAAATCAGATCTGAACTGCTGCTACTTTTTGTTATTTTAATTCTCTTCTCTGTTTTCCAGAACAGTTCTCCACAGTCGCTGTCCACATGGGTCAGTGGGACCAAGAAGCACTCTGCTAATGTGTGGACTCTGACCAGCAACATCCAGCAGGACCCAGACAGCGTTTTCTATCTCCCAGCTGGAGTTTTTGTTTGTCTGTGACTGGAGAGTCAGATTTTTGTTGAGCTTCACACTTGCAGACCTAAGTCAGTTTGCAGAGATCCCTCCCACCCTGGCTTTTATGTCCTAGATTAGGGCTGCTCGATTATGGCAAAAATGATAATCACGATTATTTTCACTGAAATTGAGATCACGATTATTTGACGATATTTATTTAACCCTTTAAGACCTACCATAGAACCAAGTCCACCAGAGCTTATATTATTTTTTTACATGCTGTAGTGCCATTTGTGGGAGCATTTCAAGTTGCTATACATCAATACAACTGTTATAGCCCATATTTTAATAATATGTATGCATTAAGTCCATAGTAATTACATAAATTGCAAAAAAGTGCAATAAACTACAAAAAAATTGAAAATCGCTTTTGTTTTGTTTACATATATTTCTACTTGGAGAAATTTAAGAGGCTTATCCCTCAAAACTTTAAATACAATAAAGTTGCAAAAAATAGTTTACAACAACAGGAAATTTATTTTGAGTGTCTTCATAGTTTTATTTTGGAGATACAGCAATTTTTATATACTGCAGGAAAAACAAAAAACAATCCTATGATGCAAATTTGCAAAGAAAACAGCAGGTGCATCATTTCACTGTGGGAAGTGTTACGAACAGCTGATAGGAACGGCAAAGCGTGTTTCTGGAATATTATGTTTTTGTTCCTGCAAGCGCTTTTTATGCAATTTTTGCAAAGCTATATGTGGAACGAAACCGTGACTGAGGACAAGCTGATGGCATCAGATGTAAGTACAACTCCTCCGGTTTCATATGCAAAACAAATTATTGCGCTAGCTTACACGGTTCAGGTTCTACAGGGATTTAAAAATAGTTACGCAAAACGGAGCTTACTGCTCTGACCGGCTTTAAAGGGTTAACAATAACTTTAAAAAAATAATACAAAATAGTGTGCAACACCACTGAAGTTTTTTTTTAAACTCTCTTTTCAACCAACGGCAGTCACTCTCCAAATAACTTCTGCTTAGCTTTCCGAGCTTCCCTCGGGTCCTCTTAATCAGCGGTCTCCAACCTTTTTTGCGCCACGGACCGGTTTATGCCCGACAATATTTTCACAGACGGCCTTTAAGGTGTCGCGGATAAATGAGGGAGGGGCTAATAATCGGCTCAGTCATTTTTAATGATCGTTGAAAGCCCAGATCGTAATCGTGATTAAAATTCGATTAATTGAGCAGCCCTATCCTAGATTTCTTCTCTGAAACAGTAATATTTAAGTGACTGCTGCTTGTACCACAGGTTAATACACGCTACTGATCCCTGATAGGAGAATCATCAATTTTGGCAACAAAGAAGCCTGGTGGATGTTTGTTTACAGTCTGATGATGGGACATCATGCTCTGCATCGTCAAAGTTTGCCTCCTCATTATTATTCATACCCAGTAATGTGAAGTATGCTTATATCTACTATAACTGAACCAACCTGGTGCTCTTCATTTATGGAGGCTGCTGAGTCTGAATGTTGGATGTTGTGTATCTCGTGTTCTCTGGGTTTTGTTGTCCTCAGTCTTTTCGCAGGATCAGAAAACAAAACCAGGAGGCGCGTAAATGTTTCTTCTCCATGATGTTTCTTCAAATGTTTCTTCTGGATGATGATAAGACTATGACACAGGATGCCACCTTTGGTCTTATGGTGAAGCAAAGCTCAGGAAGAAGTGGGATTAAATGGTACCCACATGTGTGCTGCTGAGAAGGATGTACAGGGGCACCTGCAGCCAAATCCAAGCCTCAGGTTAGTTGTAGTTGCAGAACGCTATAGGACTGAGACAGCTGAGGCATCAAATGTTTGATTAAACGGATGAAAAAGAGAAGTTTCTTCCCTATAATTATCACTTAAAATCTGTAGCAACTTCAAGTCTGTCAGCATGCTGAGCATGCTCAGAATGTGACAATATATTTTTGTTCAATATTTAATTTCTTTTAGTTGCAATTGTTAAATGAAAAAAATATATATATCCTTATAATTTAGCAAACTAATTTATCAAAAAAATATACATATATCTGTATTAGTTTTAATAAATTAATTTGACACCTGTATTGAAAATACCATATTGTATTCATACAGAATCAGTTTGGTATCATTGGTTGTCTGTTCACTGATTGTTGAAACTAAGAGCTACTTTGATCTGTTTAGATCTAAAGTATCCTAAGTTGAGCTCTGATGTTTCTTCACCCCTGTGTGTGTGATATGTGATTCCTACATGCTGGCAGAGCGGCAGTTTGTGCTCACAGATGGTGACGGTGTGGAGAGACGGTGGTGTTTCCTCAGAAGAACCAGCAGAGTCACTCGCTGACTGATGCTCATCTGCACTGCACAGAGGAAATCAACTGACCGAGGTTTGTCCAGTGACGTGTTATGAATGTATATTTGTTTTATGCTTACAGATATGTTTTTCTTGACAGAGGCTCTGCAGAGGTTTGACAAAGCAGAGAAAACATGTGCTTTACATTTTACTGTGATTTATTGAGATATTTGTTGCCTGATGTTCAGCAGGAATGGAGAAATGGAATCAAAGGGAGATGTTTTTGATGTTTTTGTAATGATGTAAGTAAATCTTCAATATTATTTATTTGCTTGGTTATATTAGGAGTGTTTCTGAGTGAGGGGGAGAGGAGTCATCATCCAGGTAAAGTGACGTAGATCAGTGGATACACTTGTCTCCCCTTTAAAGGAGACGATCCAAGTCATCCTTAAATGTTAGTGCTTTCAAATACACAAACATTTTTAAAGGACAAAAATGAACATCCAACTTTGACTGTAACACAAAATAAATCTTTGCATGTGTGTTTTCAAACTCTCAGATGGGCAGCATATCAGTCTTGGACTGTCTAACCTGCCGGAGCAGAACTGAATGACCACCACACATGAGCATGTTCCTGCAACATTCAGCATCTGATCCTTCATCTGTGTGCTTCTGCTTTTGGTAAGTAGAGTTACCCAACTCCAGTAACTCTAAACACATGCCATCCATTTCTGACGGCCTGGTTACTTCCTGTCAGTTACTTTAGAAACCATGTGGTCACCTGACCTAACACTGTTTCTTCTTCTTCCCCTTAATGTTCAAGTGTCACATGTCAAACAGCTGGAGAGGAAACTACACCAGCGTACTGGGATGTTTCAGCAACACGTGCCAGATGCTGTTCCTTCATGGTGACATCACCAGAGACAGCCCCACCCACCTCAGGACCTCGCCATTGATCATGATGATTATAATGATGACAGCGAGCGGAACTAAGACTGTAAAAATCCACGACCAGAATTTTTCTTTCTAATTATTAATGAATACTGAGAGCCTCTTTCTGTGTTTTGTATGTTTTGGGGTTGTTTTTTTTTACCTCATTTGTTACTAACAAAGTTCACAAACTCACACAGTTTACATTCTGTATGTTTCCATCTTTACCAGCCACACTCTAATTGCATTTAAGAAAATAATCCTTAGAAATCGTCCTTTTTCTCTTTTGTAATTGATGATAATTCAGTGAATATACTGCACTGCTTCCTTCTATTGCGTCACACATTGCTTTAAGTTTTTCAGTGTCCAGTTATTTTTTACTGCTGTTTGAATTCTCTGTATGTTTGACCCTGTAGACTGTTTGATGGACTGCTTGTCTGCCTGTTTGTAACCGCTGCCTGTTTTTTTTAATAAAGATTTGGATTTCTGACTTCAACACAGCCTCTGCGTGTCCTCCCTTTGTGTCCTCTTCCTCTGTGAACGTGTTGCATGTGTCACAGATTCATTTTATTAACAGCTTTCCCACAGTGAGTTGCATCAGCATTCATTCACAGCACATTTCAGAAGGATTCAGATTAATACAGTGATCTTATAGTCAGAATGATCCTGACAGTGCCACTGTAAACTCTTTCATCAGGTAAACTTTAAAGTTCAGTATTTCAAAGCAGGAGTTATGAAGACTTATACTGGCATTAGAACTAATAATATGTACTTACAAAGTCAAAGTTTTTTAATTATGCTAGAATATTGGAAGACAATCAACTTTGTGTTTTCGGCATATTAATTATTCTGAAATAGAGACGTGACCCTAACTGTACAGAAGCACTAAACAACTGACAATCTAAAAGACATCATTGGCCCGAGCTGTCATGCACAGTGAGTCTGATCCTTTGCTGTGAGAGTCTGACAAGCATGTTTCTGGTCAGTTTGGAAGAAATAATATCACAATGTTGATCTTTTCTTCAATATTCCTTCTCTTTTACAACATAAACTGTGATCAAAGGTACTTATGTTCACAGCATGTAATAATACTGACAGTCCAGGGCATTGTGGTCTGTTGAGCTAGGATTAGGGTTAGCAATTCAGACATATGTAATCAATATTAAACGTCTCTGACGTGGGCCACTGTCCACAGTGTTGGGAAATCCATACCAGGCTGGAATGAGTCAAGGTAGGTGAGCATCCACGAGAAGACACAGCAGATGCATCCTACTAATACTGACAGGACCAGGAGACTCCAGAAACTGAGCATCTTCTCTTCAGTGCCATCCTCGCCTGTCACCCTCTCTGCCCGCAGCTGAGTATGGAGTAGATAAGGGCGCAGAGAAACCCTTATTACTAATTTGTATTATAATTCAATTTTCATGAAATATTCATATTCAGTATTGGTCCTTTTATATTAATAACCACGTATCCACCCAGGCTCATGGTGGGGCAGGGCTCTGTCCTGGGATACAGTGGCGTGTCCAGCGGGGTGGCCTGGGGGGGCACAGGCCACCCCCCAACCAGACTGGCCACCCCAGGTGCCACCCCAAAGGCAAAACAATAAAATTCAATCAAATATCAAATGTCCGATTATGTTTTCACGGTGAAGCTCAGATATCCGAGTGTAAGTGAATGCAGCATCGGCTTCACGTTAGCAAAGGTAGGAGAGCCAAGCACAAAAGACGGCACTGCAGGAAACAATTTTTCGGTGAAAGAAAATGAGGACAGAATCAGTGGCGTGTCTAGAAAATTTTTGTTGGGGGGGCCAGGTAGGGGCACAGATTTGGAGAAGGGTGGCAGATGTAATTGGCAGATAAAGTTTAAAAAAATTCTACCAACCGTTAACCATAATTCAATAATCCTGTAAACCTAATAACCGAATGCGCTTTTAACTCTTATTAGAATGAGATTTTAACCACTACGGTGCAAAGTTTTTAGATACTGCGTTGATAAAGTACAAGAGATACAATCAGTGCTTTGTCAGTGTTTACTCAGCATTCAAGGACAGCAATATTTGCATAGTATTTTTACTGACATATAGTACACATATGTTTTGGGCAAAAACATTTTTGAATAAATACGAACATTTGTAACAAACAATTGACAAATTAGCCAATGCCAATGTAAAACTTTATCTGCCTGTTAAAAAAAGAAGATAATCTTCTCACAAACTGGTGTTTGATTCTGAAACAGGAAAAAAGTGGGGAAACAACTGAAAAGACTAACATTTGAATAAAACCTGAAAGCAAGTAAATACTTTCTATGCTGCCTTATGGTAAACTTTGGTAATATTGATGCACAAAGAGCAACACTGGCTGATGATGAAATACAGTCAGCTGGCATGGTGACACTGCCAGTATTAACCTGCAGGGCTGGACTGGGACAGAAAATCGGGCATTTTGACTACAGACCGGCCCACCAGGTAGTAAAGCCATAAAGACTTTGAATGAAAACAAATGCTGTTGTTGTGACAGTCCCATATGGAAAAGAAATAGTAAAAACTTACATGATTTACTCATGAAAGTGGCCACTTTCTCATTACTTTCATATATTGTTTTAGTATCCAAAACATACAAGATTCATTATATAATCTTTCAAGGGATCTTATATCTGTTTTTACTCTGCTTTTCATACAAGTTTCACACAAGACAGATACAAACTTTATAAGATTTATTTATATCTTTTCCATATGCACACTGTCTTGTTGGTATATGTATGATTTCTATACATTTTACGTCAGATAAAAACTTTGGTTGTAAGATTTAGATAATTATTTAATAAAAGCTAGACATTTTAAATGAGAATAAGAAAGAAAAGTATTTCTTTGTGCCCACCTTTCCCTGTTAATGCCCTACCTGGCCCCCTGGCAAAACTTTCCTAGATCCGCCCCTGCACAGTTACCAGCTGTCAGCTACCTAAAAAAGGATCCTGGGGTTATTTGTCTCTCAGAAACAGTTCATAACTTCAACTTATTCATGTCACCTAAAAGGTAAACCTGTTTCTCCATCACCTGTTCAGCTCTGATGATTCAGTAAGGACATCTCCTGGTTTCATCTTCATGTTTCCCTCTCACCACATATCCAAACCGACATCATGACCAGCAGCTTTACAGCTGTTGCTCCAGCCAACATCAGCTGATACTAGAAATTAATATTAAATAAATTCTAACAACAGCTGATCAAGCTTAAACGTGCTGCTGTTGTTTAACGTGAACTCCGCTGGTTTCCTCTTTCTGGCACAAAGTGGGCGATAAACAAGAGAGAAAAGCCGATCAGCTGATCATTGATCAGTTTCATGATTGAAGTAGCAACAGGAGAGGCAGGGGGAGAGAATGAGAGAAGAGGCAGCTGTGCAGCGTAAAGACAGAATAAATCCAGCTTTGTGTCTTTTTCCATTCTAGCTAAAGGAAGCTTTAAAGCTTTAAGGAGTCGTTGGCAAGTCTACTAACTAAGATAAGATAAGATAAGATAAGATAAGATAACCTTTATTAGTCCCACACGTGGGAAATTTGTTTTGTCACAGCAGGAAGTGGACAGTGCAAAAGTTATGAGGCAAAAATTAGAATACAATAAGAATAAATACAGTACACAACTGTACAGAATAGAATAAAATAAAATACTATATACAGTAGAATAAAATAAAATAAATATACAATAAGATAAAAATAGAATACAAATACAAATACTATATACAACTGAGTAAAAATACAACGATGACAGAAAGGATTATTGCACTTAGTATTATTGCATATGTATGGATGTGTGTGCTTGATCAGTTAAAGTCTTTATTATGGAGTCTGACAGCAGTGGGGAGGAAAGACCTGCGAAATCTCTCCGTCCCACACCGTGGGTGCCGCAGTCTCCCACTGAAGGAGCTGCTCAGTGCTGTCACAGTCTGCTGCATGGGGTGGGAGATGTTGTCCATCAGGGATGACAGCTTAGCCACCGTTCTCCTGTCACTCACCACTTCCACTGGGTCCAGAGGGCATCCTAGAACAGAGCTGGCCCTTCGGATCACCCTGTTCAGTCTCTTCCTGTCCCCAGCAGATTGTGCAAGTTCCCCCACTTAAAATGATGACAGAGGTCAGTAATTTGCACCAGAGGTACACTTCAACTATGAGAGACAGAATGTGAAAAAAAAATCCATGAATTCACATGGTAGGATTTGTAAAGAATTTATTCGTAAATCAGGGTGGAAAATAAGTATTTGGTCACCTCAAACAAGGGAAATCTCTGGCTCTCACAGACCTGTAACGTCTTCTGTAAGAAGCTTTTCTGTCCCCCACTCGTTCCCTGTATGAATGGCACCTGTTTGAACTCATCATCTGTATAAAAGACACCTGTCCACAGCCGCAAACAGTCAGACTCCAAACTCCGCCATGGCCAAGACCAAAGAGCTTTCGAAGGACACCAGGAAAAGTATTGTAGACCTGCACCAGACTGGGAAGAGTGAATCTACAATAGGCAAGCAGCTTGGTGTGAAAAAATCAACTGTGGGAGCAATCATCAGAAAATGGAAGACATACAAGACCACTGATAATCTCCCTCGATCTGGGGCTCCACGCAAGATCTCATCCCGTGGGGTCAAAATGATCAGGAGAACGGTGAGCAAAGATC